CAATATGGAAACCGAGAGCGTTGACCTTAAGTGAAAGTTGACCATAGGCAAGCGTTTGAGTAAACGACCCTCGATATAGTTCGTTTTATTATTCATGTACTTAAGTGAAAGTTTGACTTCATATACATTAATAGATATCCAAGGTACCTTGTAACTCAGATTATATATAGTAATATTATGGACCAAAAATCAACATAATCCTTTTGTTTGTAATGAAGAGGAACGAGTAAATAGTTAATTTTTAGCATAAAATATTCCAAAAAGAATAATGCATTTTTAGCAGAAGGACTCGAGCCTATTTCCAACGGGATTTTAACTTTAAACAGTTGTGTATTTAAACAAAGTCATTACATTTCTTTGTCAACTGAGCAACACGACTAAGAGCATCTCCGACAGATTCCCAAAATGGAAACAAAAATTAAAGTCTCTAAAAAAATTTATATTTATCTCCACAGCTTCCGTATTTTGTAGAATCCAATATTGATTATAATTTTAAAATATTTCATTTATCTATTAGAATATTATTTATCTCTCTAAATATTTATTCTTAAAGTTTTCTAATGGTGGGATGTATTAAAAAAATATTTATCATTTTTGTGGTGTTCATATTTGGAGAAAAAATATTATTCTTTTCCTTTTTTCTCCATTTTAGAGATTGTTTTAGGAAATCTGTTGGAGCATAAAATTGGTTCAAAATCTATATTTTCTCAATTTTGAAGAATCTATTGGAGACCTCCAAGAGCTTTTCATTTTCCATTTAGAATAACTTTTATACTATATTATAAAACATTTGACAAAAACTCTTAAAAATCGTTTTTATGCATAAAGTACTGTTTATTGATGCATATTATTTAAAATTCAAGATTACAAGTAATTTTTCGTAAGTATAACTTCTTAAAACTCCATATTTAAATTCGTGTAATTAAGTGCAGATAAACATAATCAAATATAAGATAAACATTCATTTTAAATATATAAAATCTAAAATATAATTAAAATAATCACTGAGTTCTAACAGAATGTTTAATTATTATCTTTATAGGAAAATTATATTATCAAACCAAATATAAATTATTTCATTATTGAACCTAAATTAAATTATAATAAAATATTGAATTAAAGAAGTTATACCAAAAAAACGAAGATTATTAAATAGTTAATTTGATACTAATATCGTTTTTTTTTTCAAATTTTATGCTATCTTCAAATTTATATTTTATTCAAAAATAAAAACATTACCGCTTTCTCAAAACCATATAAAATGGTATTATATCGATAAAGACAAATAATAAATATTAAACATTAAAATGAAGATTTATCTTGTTGCATTGCACGAGTACCCTTCTACTATATATATATATATATATATATATATATATATATATATATATATATACACACACACACATAATTTTATAAAAATAATATACATTAGTAGTGGGTTGGTGGGTTGGGTTCGGTTAAGTTATGTTATCCAATTTCAACCCTCCTAATTAATGGTTTGACAGATTGGGTTTAATCGGGTTGCTAACGGGTTGGATTAGGTTGGACGGGTTTTGGAGGTTGATTTTTTTTATACACCCCTAAGGGCAGCTAGATGGAAAAGGGTCACATGGTTGTTTCATCAACAAGACGGGGGACGAGGTGGAATGTGGAGTTCATCGGTGCTTGTGTCCAGAAAAAATGAAGGGGACGGGAAGAAATATTGGATATGTCACAATTACATTCTTATCTTGGTTTTAATAGAAAAATAAAAAAAAATTATGAAATGACTTAATTATCCTCTTAATTAACCTACTTAACGGATATTTTTAACGATGTTAGGACAAAGGGACTAAAGACGTGTGAAAATATAAACCACATAGACCTTTTCTATGATTAAGGACGCACAATGTGATTTTATGTAAACCACAAGGACCAAAAATATAATCTACTCAATACTAAAACAGTGAATTACACCGTTCATCTATGCGATATATTCAAATTTTGCATTTGGTTCCTAAAATGAACTAATCTACAGTCTCAACTTTTCAATTTCATAACACTCAAGTCTCTAAAGTTACCAAAGGGTCTTTGGTCAAGTGGTGTCGTAGTTTTTGGAAACTACAATCATACATTATTTATATTTTTAATAAACAAAATCTTTTGCATTCAATTTCATCAAATATTAGCAAATTTTATTGTAGAGTGATACCACGGTACTGAAATTTTCTTTTTTAATTCAAACATATCTAACTATAAATTAAGATTTTATAAATTTAATTGGAAAAAAACACATGATAATCGTTAAAAAAACATAGTGGGTAGGATAGCATCATGGAGCCGTACGCATCTTTATGGAACGTCACTTAACAATTTCCACTCAAATCAATTCAAATACATTATGATATAACCATCAAACCTAAACATATAAATGAATCTATTTAAAGAAATATGAAAATTGTATGTAATTAATGAGATACAAATTTGTTTTTGTGTAATATATAAATATGGTATTTGCTAATATTGTTTTTATTAGTTAATGATGTGACTAAGGAAATAGGTATTTATATTCGAACAAATTACTCTAAAATTTTAAATTAAAATGAATATATCTAGCTTTTAGGAAGGGAAAAAAAGAAATACATCAAATAAATAATAGATACTATAAATACATTTTCGGTGAAAATGTAAATAACAAGTGAGAATTTATATTTTGTTAAAACATGAGTTTGATATTTACAATTAAATAAAAGTAAACTATAAGTTTGGTCCCTCATTCTTACGGTTTAAGATTACAAGATGTCTATCTTGGTTTGTAAAAATATTTGAATTTGATCATTGCTTTTAACATTTGTTAGAAAATTTCATTATGAAGGAGCAAAAACTTTATTACTTTATGGATTTTTTGTCTTTTACCAATAAAAAATCATAGGGATCAAAATCAATTTTGATTTGGTAAAAGATAAAAAAGAACGAAAATGTCCCTCTTTTAATGTATATTTTTAACACCCGTTAGAGGAATGGATCAAATCGTGACGTCTTTTCAAACAACGATGATCATCTTATAGTTTGAAAATTGTAAGGACAAAAAGTGTTACTTTTGACAAACAACGGGGACCAATTTTGTAGTTTACTTTTTTAAGCAATGATAATCAGTAAATAACCATAAAGGGTATTATTTCTCAAGTATTATAAAATACATTTTTTTATAATTAAACAGAAACTATATACACCTTATTCATCTATTCTCATAAAATCTCAGATTTTAATATCCAAATATACAATATCCAATAAAAATAAATATCTTTCTCCCCTCTTATACAAGCAATAAATTCATTGAGTTTTTTCATTCACATAAAAAAGTAAATTCTTAGAATTTCAGTAAAAGAATATCTTTCTACGAAATGGTTGTATAAAAATAAAATGAATGAATATTAGAAGAAAGAAAAATAAATATTTGAAGATTTAATCACCAAAAAGGAGGGACCAAGTACCACCATATTAATAAATTATGAATATTGATATTATCATCGTGTTTGGGATGTAAATTAGGACGCAGATGATATATTGGACACGCAGAAGGCTTCGTAACGGGGTTCAGTTAAGTCCACTGTTGCTTCATCATCTTCACCATGCAAACTTCTGGGATCTGGAGTTGGAAAGATTACTTGGTTTACGTTATTCGGTGAATCTGTAATTGATTCTTTATGCTCGTTTTCATGAGTATGTACAATGAGGGAAGATTGTGACGAACATGATGCACTTGACGACGTTTGTTGAAGCTCGTCCATCGTACGATCCATTCTGATGGTGTAATCCTGTTTAAGAAAAAGAGTAAGAAACATTGATAACCACAAAAGTTGCAATGACAACAAGGAAAAAGGGGTTGGACTAGGACTGTTTGTTAGTTGCTTAATGAGCTCACAGCTTATTTGGTCAACTATGCATGATTGTTTGGTAGTGGCTTAATGATATAAAGTGACTTAATCAACAAGCTTTAAGGAGGAGCTTTATGCAAAAAGCCAAGATTTATGCAAACCTACCCCCTCACAATAAAAAAAACTCGGTCCTTTTATCTATGAAAAAAACCTCACAAATAAAAACTTTCTCGCTCTATACAGACAGATTAATCCACACAGATAACTTTATCCATACATGACTCAATGAAAAATCAACCAAACAGCTCCTAAATCTTATTCATGTCATGTCTGACAACCATAATCTAACTTATTGGAAAAGTCTTGTTTAGTTAATCATAATCTAGCTTTCTGAAACACTTCTTCAAATAGCATTTCAATAAACTCCAATGGATTTTTTTTTCTCCAATTATGCTCCTTTTATTATTTTAATTAATTTTTCAACATATGGCTTATCAATTAAGAGAAAACTTTTCAGCTAACAACCGGCTTGCTTGCTAGCTAGTTTGCCTAACATAGCCTTAGGGAATGACAAAATATAGGAATGAACTTCATCAAAGTGAAAGTCACACCTGAAAACGGTCAACGGAGAAATTCCTCCTTTTAGATTTTTCTGGCGCGATAGTTAGAAGTATTTGAACAACCTCGCTCATTGTTGGACGAGCATCAGGATCCAACAACAGGCACTCCTTTGCCAAATAGGCCATTATTTGCATCTCTTCTTCTTCAAAGTTTCCTTTGAGACGTGGATCGGGCAACTCCTTGCTTACTCGCCTGCTATCTTGTAGAAGTGGTGTTGCCTGCAATTAATCACACATATTGAAATGAATCACATTGTAAATATACATCTGGAGAACACTTGAACCAAAAACAAACCTATAATTTGAGAAACATAGAAATGTCACACTAAGAAAAGACCAAAGAATAATAGTTGCTAACCCATATGACAAGGCTCTCTTCCCCTTTCTCGAGTGACTTATAGATGGGATGCCGACCACTAATGAGTTCAAGAAGCACAACACCGAAACTGAAAACATCTGACATCAGCGACGCTCTTCCAACAATTGCATATTCAGGAGCAAAATAGCCGAAAGTCCCCTGCATTCGAGCAGGAGAACTAGAACAGCTGGGGAGACCATCACTCACCAGACTTTTAGCCATGCCAAGATCAGTAATCTAATCACAGAATCAATGTCATCAGAAAGCATCCTATAGATATAATAAGTTAATTCACAAGTGTGATTTACGGCTAGTTGTCATGCTTGTTATTTACTCCTGCATCTCAAAATAAGTGTCCACGCGTCTATTTTAGTATGTCCCAGAATAAGTGTCCACTTCCAAAAGTAAGTGCCTACTTTCCAATTCTAGCCTTAATTATGAGAGGAAGAAATTCATTACTATTAGCGATGTGAACATCCTACCTTTGCTCGCCAGTTTTCATCCAAGAGAATGTTAGTGGATTTGACATCTCTATGCAAGATTCTCGGTGCAGCTGCTTCATGGAGATATTCTAAGCCCCTAGCAGCTCCAATCGCAACTGCAATGCGAGCTCCCCAGTCGAGGCATTTTTCCGACACTCCATCTAGACACTCTCTGAGATTACCATTCGACATGTATTGGAATACCAAAAGCATCTCGGGGTGTTTTCCATGATACTCTAAGCAATAGCCAAGCAACGGTACCACATGACAGTGATGGAGCCTTGATAGCAGTTCAATCTGAGCATCAATTTACAGTTGTTGTAAACTAGCCTGCATTTATAGTATCACACCAAATGTTCAAGGATACAATGACTAATCTATTACCTCTGTCAAAAAAGTCACTTCGGCATCTGGGCCTCCCTGTGCTTTAAGCCGTTTAACAGCAACAAGTTTACCATCTTTCAGTTGGCCATAATAGACGTGGCTGCTTACCCCCACCCCTATCAAGTTAGAGTCGGAGAACTTATTGGTTGCAGTTTCCAATTCAGAGTATGAAAAGCTTGTTATTGTTCCTTGTACAGTTCTTGTTTGTTTTCTAAACAAGAAAGAAGCCTTGTATATAAACCCTGTGAAAAGAACGAAAAACAGAAACTTACGTCTGTTATTTCTCCTAATAAAACCAGAAAATTGCAATTAAACAAACACAACGACATTTTCAATATGCAAAGATGATTCTTAGATTTGCAGTTACCTGTGATAGGATTGGTGGGAGAATGAATATATATTTGAGATTCTGGGACCGAAGCCGTTCTATAGCTTATTAAGTTGGAAGTACTGTTGTAACTTGTATCTTTATCAGATGAGGATAAAGGCAGTCGTTTAGGGCAGTTATGCTTTCGATAGACATAGCACATCACTGAAGCGAAAATTGCAAGAGTTGTGACCACCATGCATAGCAATAAGATGATTAATACTGCTTTGCTGGAAAATTGATTCTTTGAAGACTCTGGCTCACTCAAAGATCCTGTGAACAGATATTGAAACAGCAGCCTATGTTAGAAGTTTAAGGAATGGTGGAGGAAGATATTTATATATAACATTTTAGAAATTATGGAACGTCAACATTGTGTCAGTGAACAAGAACAAACATTTACACACAAATTTCAAGAACAAACTTCTAATAGATAGATAAATATGTAAACTTTTTGTTTATATTTGGCATTCACCCGGCCTGATATTAGCTACGCAGTGCAACAAATTTGTTTATTTATGCATCCCCCGTGTGAACCTCACTTCTTAGCCATGAAACATATCCTACATTACATCCACGGGACTCTTGAGTATGGCTTGCACCTTCGTGCCTCCCCTACCACCGGTTTGATTGCCTACTTGGATGCTGATTGGGGAGGTTGCCCGAATACTCGCCGCTCCACTTCAGGCTATTGCATTTTCTTGGGGATAACTTGTTGTCCTGGTCTTCAAAGCGACAACCCGTTTTTTCTCGCTCCACTGCTGAGGCGGAATACCATGGGGTTGCCAATGCTGTTGCAGAGACTTCTTGGATTCGGAATTTGTTACTTGAACTGCATTGTTCGCTTCGTCAAGCCACCATTGTCTATTGTGATAATGTTAGTGCAGTTTACCTCTCCTCTAATCCCATTCAACATCAACGCACCAAACATGTAGAAATGGATATCCACTTTGTTCATGAAAAGGTGGCTCTTGGCCAAGTTCGGGTCTTAGATATTCCTACTAGCTTACAATATGCTGACATCTTCACCAAGGGTCTCCCTTCCTCTCTATTTTCGGAGTTCCAGTCCAGTCTCAACGTTCGCCCTTCTCCCGCTTCGAATGCGGGGGTGTGTTAATAGATAAATAAATATGTAAAATATTTGGTTTATATTTTTCTTTCCTTGTTTATATAGTTTTAGGTTTTGTTGAAATCTCTATATATTCTCTTTTGGAGTACATGTCAAGCAAGCACGTTCTCTAATTCACACAAACGACATTAAAATTCAAATATTTCCCGATTTCAGCACAGTCATAGTTACATCTACAGTAACAAACTTAAAATCAAAAATGGAAAACACATGCAAAATTTCTCTAGTCCAATCCAAGATGCGATCACTTCAAAAACCGATTGTAATCATAACAAGCGTATTGGATATACATAAAACCAGTACATTCCATCGGTAAAACTTAATGTGGGGAAACTATTTACCAGAATTGCAATTGCAGGATATAAAACAACCGGATTCATGACTTGCAGCCACTTCAGGGAGTTTATCGCCGGAACAGATGCATTTCCATCTATTTTGACTTGTACCTTCTGCAGCAGCAGAGAAATAAATGAAGAACCCAGTTCAAATATAATTAGGTTATTTCATATTCCCGTATAAAGCATTCAACTAAGTAAAAAACCATTTTATTGGAAAAAACATGTCCATGCTATCATCCAGGTAAAAAAGTAAAAAACAACTTCCTCTTAAATCAAATGACTTATCAAGCTGAACTTTAATCTCAAATTAACTTTGGGAAAGTTGACTAACAGTGTATCTAAAATAGAACCAAAAAGTTGGATAACCATGAACAAGTAGCATACCAGAGATGCAATCGCAGGATGAAGAGCAGTTGGTTGGAATGGCAATTTGCTGGTTCCATTTGTCGGTATAACATGTACATGTCCACTTGTTTATGTCTGGAGTCCCTGGAACATCTGCTGCGATTTCAGGCATGATGGCATCTTGTTTCGTTATTAGACAATACGATAATCGATCAAAGAGGGATTACTTATCATCAAACTATCCCCAAACTTAGTGCAGATAATTTAGAATTATAGCAATGCTTTCTTCTGGAATAGACCAGATAAGGCTTCTGTAAAACAGTATACTAGAGTTGATACTAACCGCAAAGGATGTGCTGAATCCAGATCAAGCTGATAAAGCAAGCTAAAGCTACTTCAAGTTGGAGCTTCATCTATTTAGTCCAAACACTAATGACAAAAGGAAACAAAGGCGGTCAAAGTGCAGCTTCACATTCCGAAAAACAAATATTTGCAGTCATATTACAGAGACAACCATACACATCTTAACAACATACAATTAGATATATGATGATCCCTTTGATCTGAAAGTAACAATACGTAGACTTCAGAAACAAGACCATTAAGATGTCCCCTTAATGCTTTAAAACTAAAGGATGACATACAATTTTTATAGACAATCACTGCATATGCACCCGGTAATACATTTTATGCACCAAGTCTTTATGAAACAGATGAATTTGGAAATACATGATCACTTTGGGGATGAGATGAAAGAGAGAAAGAAAGAGGGGTTTTATGCCATAGAAAGCTGCACTGAGTTTCAAAATGGTCAAGGCGTAGAAAATGCTATAACTTATAAAAATACTGTCGCTTGTCTCGCTTGAAATATGGGAAACAAATATTCTCCAGCTTGCTAAACCTGAAGACTTCAAGACTAATAACGAGAAACCCAGAAATTATAATGCGAATAAACTAATAAAAGACTCTCTAAAACAAACAGAAAGAGATCCATGGACTTAAAAAACAATGGACAACCATAAAATGCAAAGAGTAACAATTACTAAACACAAGGTAGACCAACAACCTTATAGCTGAATTTCCTCATTAACATGTTTAGGTGAAATAGTAACATTACTAACATATGATGAAAGAAGCTCTTTATCATTGGAGAGGCCAAACAATTGGTTATGATGTCGCTCAATTAGAATGCTAAAAAGGAATGTTGTAGTTTGTGCCTTTGTGTCTAAAGAGGGGGACACACCTTAAAAACTTAAACTCATGTGATCAAATGAAGATGCACATGACATTGTTATACCCTCATCCTAAATGGTTGATCAAGTAGTTTTACATTGGTTCAAAATCCGAAAATATATTTTGCAAACATGCTACAGAACAGGTTATGATAAATCAATAGCATAAAAGACAAAGATAACCAAAAATTTGCAGTCAAAATTATATTTAAGTTTTTCACTTCAGGATATTTTCATGTGTTGTCTAAATTACTTTCCTATTTTCCTTCTATTTCCAAATGGGATACAGATGAACAATATCAATAACACCTACCGGTTGATTAACCACACTTGCTCCAAACATTAAACAGGTTTGACCGAAGAACACCTTACAGGCACAAAAGAAGGGGGTGAGACCAGAGAGCATTGATGAACAAACCGACTAATAATGCCAGGCAATATACATCACATATCAATACAAAAATGTCAAATTTGGTTGAAATGGACATCCAATAGAGAGCTAATGACAGGTTTGCCTTAAAAAATTTAGCAAGATTACAAGTCCATCACCCTCACCCACTTCTCTCAGGCTACGAGAGTTGCCTCTTGGCTAATTAGAAAGCGACCCCTCAACTAATTTCAAACAAATACAAATTTAATACTCCACAGTCCACAACCACACAATTGTCAAACTTTTTAATTTAGTGCTTGATGCCATCATTTGTACGTTGAAACAGGATTGATTTCAATTCAATAGTTTAAACCACTGTAAGATTGTACACAAAACTGTTAGTACCACATATCCAATTATCCTTGCCTTCAAAGAAAAGAAGGCTATATTTATCTAATTTCTTTAGAGAAAAGTTTTACGTATTTGACAATCCGGCCCCACAAAGTTCCGTGTTGGCTGACCGGACATGAATAAACAGACCGTTATTATCATCATGAACCCTAAGCTGTACGTCGTGTTTGGATTGTTGTACATCTCGTTGAAACATGCTTTTCTTTTCAAATCAGCAAGTATTAATTAACAACAAACTGGAATTCAACACTAAAAATGGTTGAAACATAAAATTAAGTAAAATGGCATACATTACCTTATAAGAAGATAGAGATCCAGAAATACTTCGCACTTCCACCAACGCCACGCCACGCCAATCGAACACCTGTCAAATAAACAGATTACCATGACGACCGGAAAATTTTAAGTGTGGAAATCCTCAGCAATTAAATTTTGAGAACGGAGCTAGAATGAACTCACAAACGACGAGAGTGTGAGCTGCAAATCTGCTAAGGAGCTGAAATAAGTCTCCAAAATATAAAGTAACAAAGCCAGACTTGATGAAATCAAGACCAAAAGCCTGTTCTCGTCTAATAATGAATTCAACTCCAGAAGCTACAAATAATAAAACTCGAATAAATCAATGGCTGAGAGCTACAGTGATTGCCATTACTGATGCTGGAATAGACTCCTGTGGAAAGAGATGCAACGGTCAACTAGTGTTACGAGCTCCGAGCACGCATTTCAAGAAGTTGCAGAGGAGGTGGAGGAGAGATGGTGGTGGACTGGTGGTCTAGAGTTCAGACTATCTTCTTCTTCTCGTCTTTTTTTACACATCATCGGTCATGGTCCCTACTCGCCACATACTTTTAATGCTTTTGAGAATTACACTTTTAGTCCCTCGAAAAATGTGGAGTTAAAAGTTTAGTTCCAAAACTTAATTGTATCAATTGGTTCCCAATGAGTGCAGTTATAAAGGGCCTTCAGAGGGTCTAGTCTTATACCTTGTTGTAACGAGCCAATTGCGAGGTTAACATTTTAAACCCAAAGAAAAATCTTAATAGCATTATATATATATATATATATTGTTAATCATTGGTGTACAGGCTAGCTTGTGTGCACCTCCACTAATTCAAATGACAGAGGCTCTAGAAAACAAGGAGAATCTCAGTGGTATTGCAGGACTCGAAACGATAACTTATAAGGCGAAAGACTTGAAACCCAAGCTTTATTGTCAGTTGAGTTAACCTCACAGAGTTATACTTATTGTTTACTCATACATTAGTTGGTAGATATAACCCGTGTTAGACCTCCAAGTCCAACAGGCCAGGAGACCAAATGAAAAACATACAATTGCCATGTTGTATTTTTCCTAACAAATCCTACAAACATAACTTAAACCAAGAAAAAATGGATATTGAAAGATAAAAATTGTCATTTAATGAATCACAAGGGGTGAAATTGCAATTTGTTAAAATAGGTTTTGATGAAATCCTTGTTGGATCTTGGGGAAGTCAAAATCCTTACGGTGCGTCGCCGATACAGGAGAACTTGGCGCTTGAAAAGCATAACTTGAAATTCTTCCCTCTTAAATTTAGCCCTTTGCTTTTACAGGTTTTGTCTTTAACCACCCTCGTATTCTCTTTTGCCCTTTATCGGAAAGTGAGAATCCATCTTGGTTATTTAATTTTAATAATTAAATAATCATTATATTATTATTAATTATGATCCTCATACCCCCACCAACCATCATCAATTTTTCTTTAAAAAAGTCTCATTTATAATATAAATCAATAATAATTGTACACAATTTATCTTTAAAAATCATCTATTTTAGCACAAGATTCTTCAATTTTGTTTTTATTGAAATATGATTAGAGGTTTGATATGAGTCTTATTCATTACCGACACTATGGGGTGTTTTGCAATTGCTTATTTGAAAATTAAAACAGAAGGGTTTAACTTCTTCAAAAACTTCTTATTACTGGTATAAATTATTTATTCAAACACTCAAAAGTGCTTATTATCGGTGACATACCGGAATAAGTCAATAATTTGTTTTTATAAACAATCTCAAACACCCCCTATGTTTGTTGTTTTTTTACATTTTATAAACTAATAAAACTTAAAATTGGATTAAATGATCTGAATTTTTGATTAAATTCAACAGAAGTCAGTTTTTATCCATCTTGATATAAAATTTTTATTAGCTTATATATCTAATTAAATGTTAATTTTTTTTCATCAAACAATCATTTGTTGGGAAAAAAAAGGAAACTGTGCAATAAATGAGCAGTTTTTGTTTTGTTTTCTGACTATAGTTTGTCTAAAGTTATTTACTCTTGAAAATTACAGTGTTTATCGTTAGTTTATGAAAGCAATAATTAGTTTGTAAAGAAAAGGTAAATACAATGGTCCAGAAATTGATAATTTATATATTATAGAATCTTTGATTAGACGTATATTTTGGCAAAAAAAAATATTTTTCATTGAAAGTGATATGTCAAATAGATATATAAATGATGAATAGATCATGATTCAACTTACCATTATTAGATCATGGTCCACTTAATTAAACACTGTATCATGTTTACATTAGTAGGCAATTCAACTTAAATGCTAACTTATTGACAAGCATATTGATGTTTCTCTAATATCACAGGAGAGATACTGAATTACATATTTTTATTGATATACAATTATTTCAATGTGAATTTTATTTGTGTTCAAAGTGCTTAAACACAATGTTGGTGGAAGTTAAAGATCAAACAAAAAAATACTGATATTTTCATTTGATATTCCTTAGTTTTTTATAATTGAGAAACAAGTCCCCTAAGGACACTAATATGACAATCAACGATGTAATAATATAACTTGAACATTAAGCTTACAGTAAAAGGTTAATGGATAAACGTTTTCTTTGTAAACAGAGTGACGAGTGATCACAAAATGAGCATTCCGTCATATAAATGTTGGACTAATTTTCAAAATTAAGATACACTCTAAAATTAAAACTTTCAAATTAAAGTTAAGTTGAAAGGTAATCCATTATCGACAGCAGTAGCAATAGTGGTAGACCGTAATTTTTTTAAACAAAATATTACATGTTAAAGATGCATAAAACCCAGTATCTAAAAAATCTGATTATGAAACAAAAAATAAAGCTCGGTTTAACCAAGGTCCGGTCTAGGTATCGCCAATCCCTCCATTCAAAATGAGAATGATTTGTGCTTAGTGGTCCCAAATGTTATAGGGATTGATCTACTTTAATATTCAATACTTTCTTTATTAAAATCCGTATTTTAAATCTCAACCATAAAGTGTGTGAATTTTTTTTTAATAATAACAATGAAATAATGATAGTATAAAAAAACTAAAAAAAAATGCAAATTTTAATATTAGTTTTCTTATTTCTAGGAGTATGTATGTTTTGTATATACTATATTATTTTTTAGACGAATGATAATTAAAAATAAGAGTTAAGATGAAAATTGTAAGAAGAGATTTGGATACTTGATCATTTCTAATTCCAAAAGAAAAACCATAAATTACACATTATAAGAGAATTTATCTAGTGTATCTCATTAGTGTTGATATAATGATTCTTTTCAATTAAAATTGATCTAAATAATGATTCTTTTCAATTAAAATTGATCTAAGGATGAAAATATCTTCTTACCCATCTTATTATAATTTTTAGAACCCAACTCATCTTTTCGAATCCTCATTGTAAAGAGAGATAATAAAAACTTTTGGTTTGATTTTGTACGTACATTACAATGAAAATTGGAAAAAGCAAAACAATTAATAAAAATCGATTTAAATAAAAACATTTGGTGTTACGGACAGAGCCTTGAAGATTGGAATTTGGACATGGGACTAGAAATGGGCTTTCAACTAGAATTAAAGCATGAACCATCCATCAGGCCCAAACAAAGACCATTCTCAGGCCCATGACCCAATTGTGCAATCATGAATTTAAAGCATTGGAAATTTGGAAGCTTTAAAAAAATTGAATAATCATAATAATTTGAATAAATTACGTTTTTTTGTTCCTGTGGTTTGTTAAAAATTATGATTTTCGTCCCTGTGGTTTAAAAGTTGAGGTTTTTGTCTTAAGATTTGTACCTCATTGCTATTTTCGTTCTTATGATTTATAATTATTGTTGTTTTGGTCCAAGTGGTTTAAAGTTCTTTACTGTTTTGATCATTTGTACTATAGGGTAGCAATTAGTGCAACGAAAAAAATAGCAATAAATTACAAATCACAAAGATAAAAATCGTAAATTCTAAAGCATAGGGACTCTGATTAAAATTACTAACAAAAGACGGGGCTAAAATCATAATTTACTCTAAAGTTTTTTTAATAATATTCTCTAAAATTTAGGAAAATGGTAAGTGGTTACCATACTTACCGGGTAAGCATCTAGGTAAACGGCCTCTAAGTTTCAGTATAAATATGGCACCAAGAGTTTAAAAGACACGTTGTTTTTATGGGTCTCCTGAAGTATATTATGATTATAAGAGTTTAAAGACATGTTGCTTTTATGGGTTTCCTAAGTAAGTATATTATGGTTATTGCAAAAGAATTATTCCCATACAACCAACCAACTAATCCAAATATACCCACACTTTTTTAAACCACCTTTTTTTTTGCACTTCCAAAACTAAACAAAAAACCCAACACCAATCGTTTACGAAACCTTTTCATCATCTCGGCTGCGGTGGAGGAAACGAGTGTATCGACCGTAGCGACTTTTTGGGTGGTGCCACCGGAGGGTTAACCATTGACGATGATGATGGACTCCGGCTAAAGCACATTGTCTGAGATAGGTTAACCATGTCTACCATGGACGGTGTCTGGTACGTCTGTATCTGGCTCGTTATCTCTGTTGAATCACCTCTTGCCGTGGCCCGCTGCCATGAGTGCGAGCTCAACCCCGACAACACATAAGCTCTTCCTGATGCCTCATATACTCTACGACTCGCCATTCTCTCTTTCATTTCCCTCAATTCAGCAACCAAACCAATGCACAACCGATCTCCACCACGAGCCGACACAGACTCCGAAAGCTTTTTGCGGCAATCATCAAGCATCAATGTCGCTGCCGCTAGATTACCATGTTCAGCCGCCATTCGTGCTTCGGCAATGGCACTGGCGGCTCTAAGCCTGTTCCTCTGTCTGTCGACTTCAATTGATACGATTTGTTTACCCACGGTTGTCTCCGGCCTCAAGATTATCACATCTTCATTTCCTCCTGCACTCACCAGCGTCTTATTCACCGGATCCTTGTGAATAACTCTAAATCTCACCAGTGGCATTTCGCTGCCCGATTCCTCCACCGGAATATTCATTGCCACGAGAAAATCTCTCTCTTCTTCAGCGTATAAATCTCCGACTTCAATAAACCCCGATCTTCCATCGGTGTCCATACCAACTTTGTAGCTCCCAGCTTTGATCGATCCAAGCCGCAACACAGGATGAACACACTCGACTTCAACACCTAACTCTTGAACCACAACACTCAAAAGCCCTCCAATACACTGAGCAAAAGCATCTTGTATCACATTCTCCGCTTCTATGAATGAAAACATCCCTCCAGAATGCTCCGAGATAAAGTGCATCGCAGAAGCATCATGATCCATGCCAAAGCCAAATGTGTGAATAGGTATGCCAAGTGCAGCATTGTCGTCTTTCTTGGCTTTCATAGAAGATGGCAAAAGGGTCTGATAATCTGTTTTCGATCCCACTTTTCGAGGACTGATGCTGGTGTATGTGTCCTGCCCGTCTGACAACAATATCATACTGCTCACGGGATTCTTGAACTTCCGGTCAGTCATCACTTTGGCACCCTTTCTGAGGCCCTCAGCTATATTCGTCCCACCATTGGCGACCAATGAATTGATTATCTGTAAAGATTCTTGTTTTCCATTGTCGGTCATACGACGAAGCGGAAACAGGCGACGAGCTGAAGAAGAAAACGCTATCACTGAAAGTCTGTCTAGCGGACCGAGATTTTGTACCACAAAACCCATAGCTTGTTTTAACAAAGCAATCTTTGTACCAGTCATGCTACCACTAATATCAAGCATGGTCACAAGATCTATTGGTGCTCGTGCGTTGTGATTTCCTTTAGCAACAGGTGCTTTGAGATTGATTAAGATGCCAAAATTATCAAAGCATGCTGATCTTGCTACTGCAGACATCTCAGGGTATGTTTTCATTTCTACTCTTCCATCAGAACAGGTATTACCAGAAAAGATTTCTTCAGCTTTCTGGTTGACTAGTTCATCATCATTAAAGACGGGAGGCTCGGGGGCTTGAAACAGTAAAGAAACATTACGATTGGAGTACATTTGCTGTGGAGGCATACCTTGTAGAATCATCCACGAATCATTGTGGGACCATGAACCTGAATTCATACTTGACTTGACATGAGAAGAACCGGAATTCTCTACAGGGATTTCTTTCCATCTTGCACGGCAAACAGGACAGACTCGATTTCCATGTTTTACATTTGATGTAATGCAATGGAAATGGAACGAATGTGAGCATTCTGCAGTGAAGATGGCTTGACCGTTGGTTGATTTCATCGTAGTCAAGCATATTGCACAAATTCGCTGCAATCCAGATAAAAGTTCATATTTAGTGTCATAAACAAAGACCAAACTGTGAAAGAATGTTATTAATCATAATTTCAAATATATACTTTTTTCTCTTGGTTATCTTTCTATAGCAGCGTAACAAACAGAGTGGCTTCCATTTGTAGAGGATTAAACCTTAACAACAGATTAATCCATCATTGAGTTTGTGACCATTTTTCCCGTTTTTAGCTTCTCTTTATTTATGGAATATTTAGGAGTAACTTAGATGGTGGTGAAGCGTACTTAAAATGGATACTGTATGCTAGAAAAGAAAAAGAAAGAAACTTGAAATTACAAATATAAACACTTACCTACAACAATTTTGAATACATTAATAATAATATTGGATTTGAAGTTTCTGATATCATATACAGATGATGCTTTCAATTAAAAATATAGTACAATAAATATTTTATATTGTTGTTAACTGTACATCTAAGAAAACATGTTTCACAAAAAAAACAAATGAATCCCCTATTTAAATCATAACATGACTTTGTTTGCATTACAATATGACTGAATAGTCTCTAGCATTGCCATCATTAGGGTTTTTAGAGACCGTTTGTCGGTCCACTTTAAAAGTGGTTTTGAAGAGTAGCTATTAAATTTCCTCTAATAATTTATCTAATCTAGTCTATCTCTTAAAGGCCTCAAAAGCAGGCTATAGATAAATATACATGTGCTTATAATAAAAAATGTGGAACCCTACTAGTCAACTAGACTATCAACTAAACAAATTCATTAATTCATAGAGATCGGATAAAAATTGAAATCGATACAAGGTCTGTACAAATTTATAATTTAGTTGATGATATTTAAATCAGGCTCAAGTTTTACTGAATTTCTAGTTTTCAGGTTAGAAAGCACCAGATAATTGGATGCTATCAACACAAAATTGTAAAATTGTGATTATGAATAAAATTGTTTTTCATTTACGTTATAGTAAGTAGTATTCAAATTTCTCTTTCAAGCGGATAAAAATAGTTTGTTTCAAGTGAATATTTAAATTGTTTTTCCGTTAAGTTATAGTAAGTAATATTTAAATTAACAGCCACAAATTCATCAATATCGTATAAGAATATCATGTTAAAACAGATCATGCAAATTGTAATCACTTTGGTCTAGTGACTAGATGTCTTTTGGGTGGCTGGCATGTAACCAAACTAAACCAAACACACACATTATGTCCCACTAGGGAGTAGGGGCCCGGGGAGTCAGATGTACGCAAACTTGATACTACCGCCAAAGGGTAGAGCAGTTGTTCCGTTGAAGACCATGGCTTGCAAAAAAGTGTGTAGAGAAGTTTTAGCCAAGACCAAATGCTTCAGAAGGTTTGACAAGAAAAGATTGATGAAATTGAAAAGTATGGAGAAACTTGGGGCAAAAAGGTAAATAGGAGGACAAAATGTGATGTGGGTTATTCTGGGTGATTAAAAAACTCAAAGAACTTTTTAAAGTAAATACCATTAAGCAACAAGTGTTCCCATAAGGCAATAGAAAAAGCATATGCATCATTATATTCAAAAGCAACCACTGTATGAAAAGAATTAGAAATCAATAAGAATAAGCTACAGATCTTCTACTCTTTTCAAAGCCAAACTTTCATCAAATTTATGCTCCATAAGTAAAGTACAAAAGAGTTGATTCAACCATGAAAAGGGAAGAGAGAGATTTTACGTGTAAATCTGAAGGTGTTGACCAGATAAAGCACTTTACCTTCAAGAAGGGGAAGTAAAAAAGATATGAAAAGGATAACTGAACTGTTGATGACTATTACTCCTAGAAACAATCAACTTTAACATCAAATCAATATGGATATATTCAGTTCTTGTGGAAAAACCAATAATTTGATTAAGAAGCTCAATAAGAATATATACAAATATAAATTGTGTGTGAAAATTGTAAAAATAACATATAGCAGTTAAGTTTTTGTTAAATACAAGTTTGAGAAATAAAGTCAAGATCGCCGAAAGGAGAAGAGGATAACCTTAGAGGGGAATTAATTGAGAGTTGAAAACAACATGACAAAATTAATTGAGAGTTGAAAACTACATGACAACAAAAGAACCCATTGTTGTCTCCATCCGGACCATCCCCACCCACTGTATTGTATATAATACATCCATCATCATCAGCATTACCAGCCACTAGCCAAGCATCTCTTTAAGTACAATTAGAAAACGAAAACACAGCCAATTATATTTAATCCTGCTCTTAATTAGAGTCAACCAAAGACCAAAAAGAYATTTTAACTTTTTACCACTAGCAATGAAATGTATCATATGKGTTTTTACTGGAACAGAGTAAAAGYCGATCTTGGTGCACCAAGGTTCTTCGGTGTAGCGAGCATCCCCAAGGGAAGTTTTGTAAGCGGTCTTCCTATTGCATTCCTGCAAACAAGATGTTCAACAGTTGCTCTACAACTCACCCCTCTGAAAGAAGTCAAGAACTCTCTCTTTTCAGTTTCTAATCACATAGTTATTTTTTAGTAATTTGGTAAGTTGTTGAATCTACCAGCAAAGGAATCGATTATACTTTCTGGCATAAATCCCAAGGAGTTCAACTATTCCTAACTTTTCACATCTAAAAACAATCATAAGCCCTCGCTCTGTTCTTCAAAATTCACACCATAACCGGTCACAAAGCATCAGTCAAACAAATATCACAATCATATCAAATAAACTGACAAAGCGAAATAAACAACGAAACTAGATTTACAAGGAATAGTTTATATTAAATAAAATTACCTTGGAGGAGGATTTAATTCCGTACTTTGACATCTGAAGGCCAGAGGAGGAGGGAGTCGGAGTGGTGGGCATTCGATGGACATCTGAACTCCTAGGCGGCGCACGAGAGCGAGAAGACGGCGAGTGCAGTGATTCGTCGTCGTCGTCGGTGGTTTTGGAGACGTAAAGGCATGTATTTAGCCCTAGAGCCAGTTTGACCTTCCTCCATTTGCTTTGACCACCCATAATATGGATTCTTGTTGGAATCAATGATATCCCTGTTGAATATTTATAGAGAGATACAGAGGAATGGGGTGATGATAAAATAAAAGGGGGATTTGTTGACAGATCTTAGGAGAAAAAATTGGTTGCTGTAAAGCAACATTCTTCAAGAAGAGATGAGATGATTCCCCCAAATTGTTGTTCGATGAATATGCGGTTTCCTTAATCTGGATTTTTAGGGCATCTGGAGATGGAAACCGAGAACAAAGAGAAAGGGAGTGGGGAGAGAAACTTGAGGGGTAAAGCTGCTTTGTCCAATCTACTATCTACCCACGAATATCATACAAATTAAATATTTCTCTACCATGCATCTTTCACTATGTTCCAGATATATTATTTGAAATCAGAACCGTATTATATATTTTAATTTTAATGTTTCGTTTTATATTTTGACTTTATAATGTAATTTTATATAGTTTTAATAAAAAAATATTTTTATTTTTTAATAAAATATAAATTTTAAGGTATCATACAAAAATCGATATTAGTATCAAATTAAGTATCTAATAGTTTTCATTTTTTGGTGTAATTTATTTAATTCAATTTTTTTATTGTAATTTAATTTAGATTTGATAACATAATAATTTATTTTTGGTTTAAAAATAATTTAATTTACGTATTCTGTTAGAACTCAATGATTATCTTAACTATATTTTAGATTTTTTATATTTAAAATTAGATGTATCTTGTATTTGATTATATTCATCTGCAGTTAGTTATGCGAATTTCAAAATAAATTTTTAATAATTGTATTTACGCAAAATTTACTTCTAATATTGAATTTTAAGTCATATGCATTAATAAACAGTCTTTCAAGCATAAACGATGGTTTTTAAAAGTTTTTGTCAAATGTTGACTACATATTAATAGAGAGACTTTGTTGTTTACCGATTAATTATTACAAATTTTATTAACCGAGGTATTTTTGTCTATTTTATATATTGGTATTGCATTACAATTGTTTTTGCATTTGCTAAATCACAAGTGTTCATGTTTGAACTCTCCTGTGTGTCACAAAACTGAATCTTGCGACAAAAAGAAAACATATATGAACTTTAAATAAAAAATATTTTTTTACCTATAAACTTTGTGGTTTCACCTATGAACTTGGTATAATTCTGGAACAATCAAAGTTCATACACAAACCAACATTATGAATTTTAAACAAAATCATTGTTTCATCCATAAACTTTGTTACAACTATCTTAATTATCATATTCACTTTCTGGTTTTCACCTATAAACTTTGATAAAATTTTGGAACAACCTAAGTTCATACACCATTACAACAAAATTGGATTTATAGGACGTCACCGATTCCAAAGTGTCCTAATAAACTATTCTATATGACTCGTTTTAGAGGATCAAAAAGTAAATGGTTATATCTAAATGCGTTGTAATAAGTTTATATAATACTTTTGGACGTCTTAACAAGTTTTTATGACACTCTTAATACAAAGCGATGTATTAACTATTTTATATGATAGTATTTGAAAAATTGTCAAACAAGTGTCCTATAAAAATATGAGTTTGTAGGACACTTTTGAAATAGTTGATGAGACGCTTTGTATGAAAGTGTCATAAAAAAATTTGTTAAGACGTCAAAAAACATTCTATAAACTTATTACAACGTCTTTAGATAGAACAATTTACTTTTTGGTCCTCTAAATTAAGTTCTATAAAACAGTATATTATGACACTTTGAAATTAATAGTTTCATATAAATCAAATTTTGCTATAATGCAAAAAAAAAAATATAATTCTTAAAATAACCAAATATAAGGTATAAATTGAAATAAAAATTGAATCTAATGGATAAAGCAAAGCAATTTAATTTAAAAATAACTGAATTCGTCTTAAAAATAAAACACAATTTGTTTTCAAAACTCCCCTTCATTTAGTTTCATTTTATTTTTTTACTTTTCATCATATTATAATCTCCAATTTAATTATAACCGTTGATTAAAAAAACGAACGACTCAGATAAGGTTGTAAAGTTAATACTAATTAATATGTTAACAAATAGTTACACACACTCTCACATACACACACACACATGTATATACATATATATATATATATATATATATATATAAGTCAAGGATCGTGTGAGAATGAGAGTTAATGTGATAAACATAAGAAATGATATAGACTCTTGATCACCTTTGATCTCAAACCCGTCCATGAATCGGAATTGATGTGGTGCATCTCATATTCTCATTGCATCTCGTCTCGGTGTATCTCATCCTAATGTGCATTTGAGGATGAGGATTCATTCTTACATTTCTCACTTTTACTCTCATTCTCACTGTATGTATGTATGTATGTATGTATGTATGTATGTATGTATGTATGTATGTATGTATGTATGTATGTATGTATGTATGTATGTATGTATGTATGTATGGAAACTTTAAACAAGATTATCTTCATCTAACGAAAACACACAAAAACATATTTATTATACGTGACTGACCGTGATAAATAGGTGTTCTTGTATTTTTCCTAAAATAAAAGTGTTATTGTTTAAACTTTTCCCAACGGTGAGGGAGGAGTAAAGAATGGGAGCGATGCCATTGCGTTCGAGAGATTTGAATGGTATGCGGCTTGAGAACGGTAAAACTTTTTTTAAGTTTTTTACTTCAAAACCTTTTTAGCCAGTTACATGTAGTTATTTGGGGTTAAAAATATATAGGTAACCAAGTTCTAAATGTTCGATGATATATATATATATATTTTTTTTTAAATTATTCATATACTTAATATTTAAAATGTGAATGTTTAATGGTTTATTTAAAAAGTATTAAAAACTTAATAAATCAAAATAATTTTCTTTTAAGTTTCCTGAATTTTTTAATAAATTTAATATTATTAGTTTGGATGACATACAGGAAAGACGAGAGATTAGGTGGTATTTTGCGGCTTGGTGGATTTGACCTTTCGATTAATTGTTTGATTACAATTTTTTAAAGATATGTTTGTATGATCGTAATATATATAGCAAAAATATGTTTTCAAAGTTGACCTATGCTTCTATTTGTCTCGTCATCTACCTACTGGGGTTTTCTTCATACTTTAAATATACATGCGTGTGTGTGTGAACATTATATACCCTTTTTATATCTAATATCATTGATGTGGAGTTTTTGATGATAAGTGTATTACATTTGTTTTTTGTAATTAATGTTGGATAACATATAGCAGTTCAACATGGTAGATAAATTTCAATCAATCAACTTTTTTTTTTGAAAATAGGAATGTAGCTTTGGTAAATTTTATTGATAACAAACCAATCATACACCAACAACTCGGTACTACCACTCAGACACATGACCACTGACCAAGTGGTTAGTAGCAATAACGACAATGAAGAGAGTTATAAAGATGATGACGACCATAACATGCATTGACATGGCGTCTTGTTTGAATAATCAATGTCTCTCTACCATCTTTAGCATATCCACCAATAGCAGTGGCATGCAGGATTATGTTATGATATATGGCTATGTTACTGAATGTTGTTAAGAGTCTATTAAAGTGAAATTGTAAATCACATTTTGCTTGAATGGTATCTCAGTATATATAGCAAGCACAATATAAATGTTGGAATTATACGCAAAAAACAGTAAGTTATGATATAATTATAAAATGTAGCAAAAATGTTAGTGGAGGGTAAAGAACACAGTGATGGAAAATATTTTTTAGTTTGGCATTGTTGATGTATTACATCCATTACTTCAACAACAATGTTTGATGAGTAATCAACGTCCTTATATGTAACATCTTGAGCTAACTGTATCCGATAGTGTTTGTTTTATTCATATTTGGACTCACGGCTTTAAAACGTGTCTAATAGATAAGGTATCTAGTCCTTTACAGAGCAACCTTTGTTCCCCTTCCCAACTGATGTGAGGTCTTATAATCTACCCCCATGGGATCCCAACGTCCTCTTTGGCACACTAGTCTGGTTTCCGATTCTGATATCATCTGTAACATCTTAGACTAATCGTACCAGATATTGTTCATTTAGTCAACACATGAACTCACAGTTTTAAATCGTGTCGTGGTAGAAGAAACATTCATCCCTTTGTTGTAATAATCCATGGACCATTTTGGTAAACAAATAATGATAAAAGGGTGGGGTTGGAAAGCCAGTAGCTCATATTCTTACTATTTCAATCCTAAATCACTTTCACAAATGCCCCTAAATCACGTTAAATAACACATTGTATACGATATTAATTTCCGTCTTCATTTCTAAGGTTACGTCACTTTTTTTATTAAGTGTATCATCATGTCCTCTTGAAAATTATCATGTTGTTGATCATTAACTTTTTCCAAAAGTATAAGTTTTTCCTCTTGATGTGTTTGTGTTCTATAATTTGCTTTTAGTTATTTATTTGGTTATTGTTACTCGAAATCCTAGATGCATAAGAAAGCTAAATAAGATACATAGTTAATTTTGATTTGCAAAACATTATATCTGATACTAGGAGTTCTAGATACATAAGAAAATGAAATCAAAATCGAGAAAAATAACATAGAACAATCAATATCAAATACTAAATTAGTAAATATCGGAATTTTTTTTATGAAATCAACCAAAAAACCCAAAAAGTTCCATGTAACGGTGTAATTAAGTTAAAAACACGTCGGACGTAAGACATAATTTTGTGTTTTGTTTATCACGTCAAGGTAGATTCAATTTGAAAAAAAAAATATTATTCCCAAAATCGACCATAATTGATTTTTCCTCTGGTCAAACCGCATCGACTTTTCCTTCCAATCAAACCCGTAACTTTGTGTGTCTTTGATACAGCATAAAAGTACACACCGTCTATACTATATTATAAAGCATTTGACTTTTTATTATTAACTCTTTGAAATTTTAAAATACAAGTAGTAATTTTCAAATACAAACCAATTTGAATATTTAACATTTTATAATACTCCTAGTTTGCCTTTTTTAGGGGTGTAAATAATAAATAACCAATCCACGTTCTCTCAATTGAAAATTGATAAGCAACTAAAAATTTTATAATACCCTTGGTTTGCCCATTTTAGATTATATTAAAACATTTTTAAATAAAAAATAAAGGTTGAGTTTTTTTTCTATTAAATTTAAATATTGTATAAAATGAATAATTTGCTGAGAACTCTCACATTCTCTCATTGACACAAAAATCATAAAAAGAAAATTAAAAATAGAATCAAATTTATGTTACTTAAGCGTTTAGAATTGTAGTTTTAG